CCGTTCCGGCAACTGTCTGCTAGGATCCGGCAACTCATGCAACGAACTTGTGTTATACGCAGGATTCGATCCGAATGGGAGATCCCGGATCACCCCAAAGGATCAATCAATCAATCAATCAAAGCTTTATTTATAAAGCGCCTTCCGCAACCCTGTCAGGAAGCCCAAAGCGCTGAACATGGTACAGTTAAGTAAATATATTGAATAAATCAACAATAAAAGAAATTCAAATTACAAAATACAAATTACAAAATACAAAATGGAAATTACAAGATAGATGAAACATTCTGGTAAAGGACAAATGTGTGAAACACATTTGGATTGAGTGGATGGATTGAGTGTACCAATGAAAACTGTGGAATGGATTCAACATAAAAGAGGGCCAAAATCAAACATGTTCTGGAAACGCCAAGCGGAGGAGGTGTGTTTTTAGGTGATTCTTAAAGACTGGCAGAGAAGGGGACAGCCTAACTGAGGGTGGCAACTGGTTCCAGAGTGATGGTGCTAGGACTGAGAAAGCCCGGTCCCCACGGGTACGACACCTAGACCGAGGGACAGCGAGCAGGCCTTGGTCAGAGGAGCGCAGAGCGCGTGATGGGGAATGTCTTTTCAGGAGTGTGGCTAGATAGGGGGGACCACCACCCTGGAAGAAATGATAAACAAAGACGAGGATTTTGAATTGTGAGCGATAGCAAATCGGAAGCCAGTGCAGAGAGGCCAGAACCGGACTGATGTGGTCCCGTTTCCTGGTCCCAGTCAGGAACCTGGCAGCGCTGTTCTGCACAACCTGTAGGCGATGCAGTGTTGACTGACACAACCCTGCATATAGAGAGTTGCAGTAGTCAAGCAGAGAAATAACAAAGGCATGCAGTACCCGCTCCAGGTGGGCTCTCGACAGCATAGGCTTGATTTTAGCAAGGCGTCTCAGGTGAAAGAAACTGGACCGGATCACAGAATTGATGTGAGCGTCAAATTTAAGTCCTACATCAAGTTTCACCCCCAAACTGGTAACAACTGGTTTTGAGTATGGAGAAAGAGGGCCAAGATCAGCATAACGATCCACATTCCTGCTGTTGGGGTGAAAAACAATGAGCTCTGTCTTTCCCTCATTCAGATGTAGATAGTTGGACATTAGCCAAGACCTCACCTCATTAACACAGGAGACTAAGGACTGAATAGAGTGACCTTTCTCCTGACTCAATGGAGAGTAAATCTGGCAATCGTCAGCATACAGATGGAATGATAGGCCATGTTTACGAAAGATTGACCCCAGAGGTAGCAGATAAATGGCAAACAAAAGAGGACCAAGGATCGACCCCTGCGGGACCCCCCAGCGGAGCCCCTCCCAAGAAGAAAAAACATCACCCAGTTTAACACAGAATGTCCTGTTGTGGAGATACGATCTAAACCAATCCAGAGCTGACCCTTTGATCCCAACCCATCGTTCCAAGCGATCGAGTAGAATCGCGTGGTCAACTGTGTCGAAGGCTGCTGTTAGGTCTAACAACAGAAGCAACACAGATGTACCCTGATCTAGTGATAGATAGATGTTATTTAGGACCCTCAGTAGAGCAGACTCTGTGCTATGGCCAGACCTGAACCCTGATTGGAAAACCTCAAACAGATCAGAGTCAGCTAAATGTGAGACCAGCTGCTGATAAACGACTTTCTCAAGCAGTTTAGATGTAAAGGGCAGGGTAGAGATAGGCCTGTAATTTTCTATCACAGAGACATCAGCACCAGGTTTCTTCAGGGTCGGCCGAATAACTGCTGCTTTCAAAGCAGCTGGGACAACACCTGTGCTGAGGCTCCCATTGATAATCTGACCAAGTGAAGGGCCAAGGCACGGAAAGGCAGCCTTCCAGAGACAAGGTGGCAGAACGTCAAGTGGAGAGCCTGATGGCTTCTGTCTCGACTAGCTTACTCAGCTCAGAGTATGAAACTGTATTGAGGGAGCTCAGGGTGGGTGGTAATGGATGAACTGGAACAGGGTCAACAGAGTTACCAGAAATGACTGCTCTAATGCCCGACACTTTATCAACAAAGAATTTGTGAAAAGCTTCAGAGTTTCCAGCAGCTGTAGGAGACATGGAGCTAGGTTCCTGATACACCAGAACAGAGTTTAGCGTTTTGTAGAGAATCTTAGGATTATTGGAGTTTGTCTCAATGATGTCTGCAAAATAGGCCATTCTGGCGGCCTTCACTGCATCCTGATAAGCAACCAGAGATGCTCTGAACAACTCACGGGAGACCTGTAGGCCATCCTTTTTCCACTTTCTCTCAGAGGATCCACACGCCCGCCTGCAAGCCCGTGTGACATCAGAGAGCCATGGCTCCCTCCTAGGCCGAGACTTGCACAGTTTGAGAGGGGCAACCACGTCCAAGACCTGATTACAAAGTACATCAAAGTGTTATGAATAGTGATCAACGTTAGATGGATCTGGGTTAAAGGTCTCTAACCTTACAGACATACAGTCCACAAACTTTGAAATAGTTTCTGCATCCAGGGCTCTGAACCTAGTAGCGGGAGCTTCACACACAGGGACAGGACATGGCAACGTAACATCACAGAGTATAGGAGAGTGGTCAGAGAACACAGGGGGCAAAGTCACGAGGTTCGTGACGGGTAGACCATAAGAGATAACCAGGTCCAGGGTGTGACCCCTGGCATGAGTTGGGGATGATACCCATTGAGTTAGATTGAATGAATCTAGCAAATTAAAAAAACATTTAGCAAGCACATTGTCAGGACAGCAGATATGGATGTTAAAATCACCAAAAAATAGGACATAGTCATATTTTAGGATGCAGTCTGCCACAAGATCACAGAAATCATTAAGGAAGTTAGAGTCAGTCTTTGGAGGGCGATAAATCAGCACGACAAGCAGGCGGGGGGAGATGCACAGTTCAAATAAGCACAGTTCAAGGGAAGAAAATGTGGGTGTAGGCTTTTTACAAGGAAAGCTGGATTTAAAAACAACAACCAGCCCTCCACCTCTGCCCCGTGGTCTGGGGGTATTAAAACACGAGCAGCCAGGTGGTATGAGCTCGAGTAGGGAACTTGTGTCACCAAACGGGATCCAGGACTCACAAATGCAGAGAAAACCCAAGTCATGCTGAATAAAAAAGTCACGAAGAATAAAAGTTTTGTTCAGCACAGACCTGGCATTGACCAGACCAAACCGGGTCTGCAGCGGGGCTGCAGCACAGAGATCGCGCACGGACCCAGTCCCCTCTAACTCTGTGCCCGTAACCGAGCGCAGATTCTCCCAGCAAACCCCAGTCTGGCGAGATCTTCGAGCCGATCGGCCGTGGCGCGGTGCCGGTTCACCCTCAGAGCCGGCCGAGTTCCCTGAGCAGGGCGCAGAGTAATCCAGGAGACATCTCGGAACCATCGGGTCAGAAGCTGGGCCGGATCGGGCCAGCCGCTTGTTCAGGGATCCAGGCCGACGTCTCACGCGCCGGCTACCTCTCTTTCCTCGTCTTCTCCGATGCTTCCTTCTCGAGCTGGGGCGGACAGAGGGCCGACACATCACGGCTTGGGTGGAGAGAGCATGCGGGCAGTTCAACCAGCAGCATCGTCCGTGAGGTTCATGGCTCACACAGCCCGGTTCCCAGCGCGCGCTGCCGGCGACATCAACGGAAGGACAAAGCCTCAGCAGCACAGCTCGATCATATGTCAGCAGAGGATCCACGCCATTCAAAAAAGGGATCAGCGACAAGAAAAGTGCATAAAAGCCAATAAAACGCCAATAAAATCCAATAAAAAGCAAGGTATCAGTGCGTAAAGAGGACGAGCAGCTCGCAGCGTGACCGTGCGCAAGCGCCATCTTACTCCAAACTGGAGTAAAAGGATGACAGGCTCCCCTGGAAGCCCTCAGTTTACACCCAGGGGGAGCCCCAAAAAGATCCTGGTTCTACTTATATTACATCATTTATGTGGGCTCTCCAGGGATTAATTAGAGCTGAGAGGCGCAGAGCTCTGATCGTAGATGCCCTCCAGACAGCAGCGTCCTGAGCATGGCGACAGTAACATTCTCAAAGTGTCGCCACCTCAAAAACAAATTTAACACGCGATCGTTTATGTCGGCTCATATCCTTTTATGATTTCTGTCTTTTGTTTGTGCCTGATGCGTTTCGCTGCTGCGGTGCAGAGCGCATCACCCGTTTTGTCCTCTGGTGACTTCACCCCACTGTGCGGTCGGCGCGCACTCCGCTATTTTTGCGGTCGGTAGATCTTTTAGAACTGCAGTTCAAAGGTAACTCATAAGGTGAAAAATATGAAGCCAGGTAGCAGTTTTTCTTTAGGATTGAGAGGAGATGCAGGAAGATAATAAACAGACGGGACAGAAAAATAGTCAAATAAAAACAAGTTAGTTTTTGTTTATGGTGGTTGAAACAAACAGACACCATTGAAGGTAATCAGAGGTGAGAGACAGAAAATGAAATTTTTCTTTAAGTGTTAGCAGGAACTCTGAGAGGCTGGAGGCGCATCAGTGAATATGCGGCTGCTGCGCGGGTGGGGGTGGGGGTGGGGGCTGAAGCAGGGGAACAGCAAAGATGCAAAAACTACCATTGTTAGAAGAAATGTGTGTTAACTTTGAAAATGTGGGCGCAATATTTAATATTCAAAAACTCGAGCAAACCAACCAGAAATGGCATCAGCCTTGGAACTCGCAGAACGGCAGTGAGAAAGCCATTTATTCATGGCTACAAATGGGCTACACACTGCAGTAAACACGTATGACCACGGGATGTCACCCTTACATGATGTGCCTTTAAAGAATTTGTTCTTGGCAGTAGAACAACAGTGTGTGTGTGTGTGTGTGTGTGTGTGTGTGTGTGTGTGTGTGTGTGTGTGTGTGTGTGTGTGTGTGTGTGTGTGTGTGTGTGTGTGTGTGTGTGTGTGTGTGTGTGTTCCAGACTCTTTCTGAGCTGGTCAAAATGAGCAGCAGCAGAGACTTTATGAGATTTTACGGTGTTTATTTATGTGGCTGCAGATAATCTTGGATCTGAGGAAGGAGGGAGACAACTTCATCCCTGTCTGGATCATACTGGGAAGCTCACTGGGAGGCCTCCTGATCCTGTTTGTATTGGTCCTGGGCCTGTGGAAGGTAACCAGTCGAATCAGTCTCAAAAATGATTTCTATCTAACCGTTGTCTCTGGAGAGTTTTTTAACTAGTGTCAGAGGTTGTCAGTACATTTAGGTTTTATCAAAAAAAAAGAGCCTTTTCTGATCATTTATTAACAGTGTATTCATACCCTTTGAACTTTTACACATGTTGACACTTTACAATCACAAACCTGTGATAGACCAACACGAAGTACAACTGGGCTAGAGTACAGTCACACGCCAGGTTCTCTCTCGTCACAGTCAGAGTCTGTCTCCTCGTGAATGATGCCGGCTTTTGCAAAAGCCCAAACAACAGTACAAGTAGACACATTAGCCCAAGCATTTACAATCTATTCACAAATTGCGGCGTAACTCGCCCGGCGTTGCCTCACAGTCTTCGTAAATGTGTGTTCGCCATCTGTCATTCATCACTCCCACGCCGTTCGCAGCCTTACTTTGAACGCCCTGTTCACGCCAATGTCCAGAGGTTGGAGTTCCTTTTGTCAAGCCTCTTGGAATGACAGCGAGCTCCGAGTTCATTTGCTGCACCTGTTTTTTCTCGCCACGCCCCTTGTTTTCTACTACGTTCACGTCTCACAACAACACAATAGGCGCACCGCACCATAGGGCGCGGCGTACATTTTGGAGAAAATTTAAAACTTTTAGGTGCGCCTTATGGTCGTGAAAATATGGTAGCTCATCATTGTAAATTGGAATGAAACAGATACGTGGTTTTTAACATTTTCAACCCCCTGGACAGTGACATCTCGTTTATCAGAGGACTTACGTTCTGAAAGTAACCCCCAATAGGCAAAATCTGCAAAGTAGTCAGCTTCATTTTTTACGATTAATATAGATGTTTGTAGCGTACACAGCTATATTAGGGCCAAACACACAAAAGCACACCAGAATGTCTATTTCTCAACAGTTTTAACTCCAGCTTGCGTGCATGGGTGAACAAGTCTATTTAGACACACTCAATCCAGCGTTTCAGTTTTTGTGGTCACTCTGTAGAGACTTGCGTCTGATTATTAATGTCCTCCAGCCGTGGCACAGAGCGAGCTCCTCTTCTCCACATACGCGCTCGTCCCAGTGCACGGCAACAATGTTTAAGGCTGTAAAGCCCCTCATTACTCTTCATACACCTCTCTGACAGGCATGAACGTTTAAACACTTTTCTCACCTGTTTCAACACTCTCAAAGGTCAAGCCTTTATACATTTGGATGCAGAACACAATGCGCTGTAAAAAAACAAACATGCAAAATTGCACAAAAAAATTCAGCAAAACTGCAAGTCCGCAAAAGGTGAATCACATCGTAGTGAGGGACCACTGTGTTCTGATACCTTTGAGGGCCAAATATCAAGAAATAAAACTCCAAATACTGTTGTCTGAAGCTTTCCTCTGATGTGGCAATTTTCTAGCTCCTGGAACAAGCATGCCACTGTTTTTATTTATTTATTTTTTTGCCCCAGAGTATGGCTTAAAAGGCAATAATTCCTACTAGAGACCACTGTAAATGTGTTGATTTAATGAGTGTTCTGTACAGAGTTCACCTTTGTGTGTAATTTATAGTCTCAGTATAAGTACACCTGTTGTGTGAGGGCCTCAGTGGTTAGTTAGAGAACACAACTGAAGAAGCTACTAACCCCCAAAAACCTTTCATCAAGGCATGTCAGCAGTGGCTACGCTCACACTGCAGGCAAAAGTGCATCGAATCCCCACATGTGACTTATATCTCAGTCTGAGCAGCACAGATACGATTTTTTTCAAATGTGATCCATGTCACTTGAATATGTAGTACTTATTCTGACACATATCTGATGTTTTTGAACGTGACTGCAGTCTGAACAGTCATGTCACATTAAATCCGTCTCCTACGTCACTGAGTCAGCGGAGGTGAGTATTGTGTGTGGATGTTCCTGAGGATGAGCGCTGACAGAAGGACTCGGGAGTCTGTCTGGACATCATGCTATGTTTAGGAATTGAAATTGCAGGAGAGCATAAGAACGGGAGTGGGAGGTGCTGCTGGAGTGAAGCATCTCACCGGTGTCTGTCTCCGCGCGCGCGCGCGTGTGTGTGTGTGTGTGTGGGGGGGGGGGGGTAAGGGGCTCTCCATCAATAATCTTAATACCTGAACATCTTCTGTGATGTTCAGGATGCAAAATCAGAGTCAGAGATCTCAGAAAGCAAGACTGCTCAGGCTGCTTTTGATTAATAACGAAGACAGCGCAGACTTCTACGCGCTCTTTTGTCCCGCCCATGTGCTCAGTCACGTCCATATTCCTAAGGCAGCATGGAACAAACGTGCGGTCGGGCTGGGGTGGGCGGAACCGATGCTAGTGTGTAAGTGGCAATAGTCCCTCCAGCATGTCCCAGGTCTTCCTTTAGGTCTCCTCCAGGTTGGACATACATGGAAAACCTCACCAGGGAGGCATCCAGGACGCATCCTAACCAGATGACCCTCAACTGGCTCCTCTCGATGTGGAGGAGCAGCAGATCTACTCCAAGCCCCTCCGGTGAGATCCCTCTGCAGTTGGAACACACCATGTGGTCCTCCTTTTTAAAAATAGAGGGACCACCACCCGAGTCTGCATATCCAGTCGGACTAGGGTTGCAAAGATGAACCAGTTTGACTATTAACCACGGTGTGAAACGCTGTGGATAACCCACCATCAAGACATCTCCAACAAGGCAAATTTTAAAAAAGCATTAGCGGGCCAAAGCTAAAGTGAAACTGAATGAACACACACAGCAGAACCAGCATAAACAACCACCGGGACTGCTCCGTTTCCACTTAGGAAGCGCTAAGTCTGCTGTGAGGGAATATTTTAGTCTCCCAAAGCTGCTAAAAGAGAAATTCAGAACGATGTCTCGTCCATCTGCAGACCTGGCAGAAAAAAAGCAACGCTCCCAACTTGTTATCCTCTCTGAGATCATCACGCAGACAGATTAGCTCTTACTGAGTCAGATTACGTTAGTGACCGAATGGATTTAACAGTAATATTAGAACAATCCAGTGAACGACAGTTCATATTGTGTTGTGCTACGTTTCCCCTGTATCTGTCTATCTGTATGGCAAGCCATTTTAAAATTTAATCAACACCATTCTGTATTTCCTGTTCTACATAGCAATAATATAATTTACCCTTGTCCAAAAAAATATCCTTACTGATGAAATTTGAAATGATGTGAACAAGTAGAAATTACATTTGAGTAATAAGTAATATTCATAATAACTTCGCTAGCAGGAAATTAGCATCTTAATTCATTAAGGTGTTTCCATCCTTCAGTGCTAACCTTGACCAGTTGTCAAGAGTTAAACTTTTTGGTCTTTTTATAGAAACTCAAAAAAGGCCTTTAGGCAAATATAATTAAAGGTCACTAAAAAACATTTTTAATGATTGTTTCTGATAATCAGTCACTCTGAGTGTTTCATGCAGGCTGAAGATGAAAATAGTCTCCTACACCTATCTCCCGCATTAGCTGCTGATAGAAAAAAATAAACAATGAAACTGTCATAGTGACCAAGTAATATTTTAAAGATCATTTATTTTAAAACAAAGCTCTGATAGTAGCACTTAATTTCTGTTTATTCTTGGAAGAATTCTTAAAGAGCTCTCATTTTGAAATGGATCATGCAACCTTTCATCTGTAAACAGGAGTTTTGTGGAAGGTAAAACATGTTAAGATCAATAATTGTGTATTTATTCATTTCATGCTTCTTAATTAGTGTTAAATTCATATATGTTTTCCAATGTTTCCATCTTTGAAGGTGTGGCTCACTGAAAAAAAAATTTTTTTCAATGATTATTTCTGATTATAATCAGTCACTGAGTTTTCATGCAGGCAGAAGATGAAAATAGTCTCCTACACCTATCTCCTGCTTTCGTTTCTGATAGAAAATAGACGATGAAACTCTAGGATTGGCAAATCCTGACAGATCTATGTCACACTGTCACTAACATTCATGGACTCACCCATCTTTGACTCATGACAGGGAAGGCTGTTGGTTTAATGTCCAGGAAACAGCAGAGAACATCTCTACTAGCAGAAGCTAACTGTTAGCATTATCAACTCCACCACACAGCAGAACTCATCCAGGCTTGTGTTATTTGATTAGTTAAAACATCAACATCGCACATCAGTAGTAGAGGAAATTTTTCTAAGCAAAATCACTGAAAAGGAACAGTAAATATTTCAGGGGCTCAAAACCTTTATAGAATGTAATCATGCATAGTGTGTGTGTGTGTGTGTGTGTGTGTGTGTGTGTGTGTGTGTGTGTGTGTGTGTGTGTGTGTCTTCGTCTTCGTCTTCGTCTTCCTCCGCTTATCCGGGTCCGGGTCGCGGGGGCAGCATCCCAATTAGGGAGCTCCAGGCCGTCCTCTCCCCGGCCTTGTCCACCAGCTCCTCCGGCAGGACCCCAAGGCGTTCCCGGACCAGATTGGAGATGTAACCTCTCCAACGTGTCCTGGGTCGACCCGGGGGCCTTCTGCCGGCAGGACATGCCCGAAACACCTCCCCGGGGAGGCGTCCAGGAGGCATCCTGACCAGATGCCCAAACCACCTCAACTGGCTCCTTTCGATCCGGAGGAGCAGCGGTTCTACTCCGAGTCCCTCCCGAATGTCCGAGCTCCTCACCCTATCTCTAAGGCTGAGCCCGGCCACCCTACGGAGGAAACTCATTTCGGCCGCTTGTATCCGCGATCTCGTTCTTTCGGTCATTACCCAAAGCTCATGACCATAGGTGAGGATTGGGACGTAGATCGACCGGTAAATCGAGAGCCTGGCTTTCTGGCTCAGCTCCCTCTTCCCCACGACAGATCGGCTCAGCGTCCGCATCACTGCAGACGCCGAACCGATCCGCCTGTCGATCTCCCGATCCCTCCTACCCTCACTCGTGAACAAGACCCCGAGATACGTAAACTCCTCCACTTGAGGTAGGACCTCTCCCCCGACCCGGAGGTGGCAAGCCACCCTTTTCCGGTCGAGAACCATGGTCTCAGATTTGGAGGTGCTGATCCTCATCCCAGCCGCTTCACATTCGGCCGCGAACCTACCCAGCAAGAGCTGAAGGTCAGAGCTGGATGAAGCTAGGAGGACCACATCATCCGCAAAAAGCAGAGACGAGATTCTCCTGCCACCAAACTCGACACACTCCACACCACGGCTGTGTCTAGAAATTCTGTCCATAAAAGTGATGAACAGAACCGGTGACAAAGGGCAGCCCTGGCGGAGTCCAACCCTCACTGGGAACAGGTCCGACTTACTACCGGCTATGCGGACCAAACTCACGCTCCTCTGGTAAAGGGACTGAATGGCCCTTAACAGAAAGCCACCCACCCCATACTCCTGGAGCGTCCCCCACAGGGTGCCCCTGGGGACACGGTCATAAGCCTTCTCCAAATCCACAAAGCACATGTGGATTGGTTGGGCAAACTCCCATGCCCCCTCCATCACCCTTGCAAGGGTATAGAGCTGGTCCACAGTTCCACGGCCAGGACAAAAACCACATTGCTCCTCCTCTATCTGAGATTCAACTATCGATCGGACCCTCCTCTCCAGTACCTTGGCGTAGACCTTTCCAGGGAGGCTGAGGAGTGTGATCCCCCTATAGTTGGAACACACCCTCAGGTCACCCTTCTTAAAGATGGGGACCACCACCCCGGTCTGCCACTCCCTAGGAACTGCCCCCGATGACCACGCAATGTTGTAGAGACGTATCAACCATGACAGCCCTACAACATCCATAGCCTTGAGATACCCAGGACGAACCTCATCCGCCCCCGGGGCTCCGCCGCTGTGTAGTTGTTTGACTACCTCAGCAACTTCTGCCCCCGAGATCGGACAGTCCATCCCCAGGCCCCCCAGCTCTGGTTCCTCCTCGAAATGCGCATTGGTGGGATTGAGGAGCTCCTCAAAGTATTCCTTCCACCGTCCGACTATAGCCTCAGTTGACGTCAGCAGCTCCCCATCCCCACTGTAAACAGTGTGAGCGAGTTGCTGCCTTCCTCTCCTGAGGCGCCGGACAGTTTGCCAGAACCTCTTTGGAGCCGATCGATAGTCTTTCTCCATGGCCTCACCAAACTCCTCCCACGCCCGAGATTTTGCCTCGGCAACTGCCACTGCTGCACGCCGCTTGGCTATCCGGTACCTGTCTGCTGCCTCCGGAGACCCACAGACCAGCCACGCCCTGTAGGCCTCCTTCTTCAGCCTGACGGCTCCCCGAACCTCTGGTGTCCACCAGCGGGTACGGGGGTTGCCACCACGACTGGCACCGGCCACCTTACGACCACAGCTAGCAACAGCCGCCTCGACAATCGCAGAGTGGAACAAGGCCCACTCGGACTCAATGTCCCCCACTGCTCTCAGGACGTGGTCAGAGCTCTGCCGGAGGTGGGAGTTGAAGACCGTCTTGACAGGTTCTTCTGCCAGGCGTTCCCAGCAGACCCTCACTATGCGTTTGGGTCTGCCAGGTCTACGCGGCATGTTCCCTTGCCATCTGATCCAACTCACCACCAGGTGGTGATCAGTTGACAGCTCCGCCCCTCTCTTCACTCGGGTGTCCAAAACATACGGCCGCAGGTCAGATGATACGACTACAAAATCTATCATCGACCTGTGACCTAGGCTGCCCTGGTACCAAGTGTACCGGTGGGCATCCTTATGTTCGAACATGGTGTTCGATATGGCCAAACTGCGGCTTGCACAGAAGTCCAATAACAAAACACCGCTCGAGTTCAGATTAGGTGGGCCGTTCCTCCCAATCACACCCCTCCAGGTCAAGCTGTCATTGCCCACGTGAGCATTGAAGTCCCCCAGCAGGACAATGGAGTCCCCTGATGGAGCACTATCTAGCACTCGTCCCAGGGACTCCAAAAAGGGTGGGTACTCTGAACTGATATTTGGCCCATAAGCACAAACAACAGTCAGGACCCGTTCCCCGACCCGAAGGCGCAAGGAAGCTACCCTCTTGTCCCCCGGGGTAAACCCCAACACACAGGCAGAGAGTCTCGGGGCTAACAAAAAGCCAACCCCAGCCCTCCGCCTCTCACCCGGAGCAACTCCAGCAAAGTAGAGTGTCCAACCCCTCTCCAGGTCTCGGGTTCCAGAGCCAATGCAATGTGTCGAGGTGAGTCCGACTATATCTAGCCGGTACCACTCAACCTCTGCCACAAGCTCCGGCTCCTTCCCCGCCAGCGAGGTGACGTTCCATGTCCCAAAAACTAGTTTTCTTGTCCGGGGATTGGACCGCCAAGGCTCCCGCCTTGGTCTGCCACCCGATTCGCATTGCACCGGACCCTTCATGTTCCTTCTGCGGGTGGTGGGTCCACAGTTGGACGAGCCCATGTATCCGGTTCGGGCTGGGCCCGGCCGGGCCCCATGGGCGAAAGCCCGGCCACCAGGCGCTCGCTCACGGGCCCCAACCCCAGGCCTGGCTCCAGGGTGGGACCCCGGTAACCCTCCGGGCCGGGTACTCCGACTCTTCGTTTTATCCGCCATGAAAGATCCTTCGAACCGTTCTTTGTCTCACCCTTCACCTAAGACCAATTTGTCATGGGAGACCCTACCAGGGGCACTAAGTGCCCCAGACAACATAGCTCCTAGGATCATTAGGGCACTCAAACTCCTCCACCACGATAAGGTGACGGTTCAAGGAGGAGTGTGTGTGTGTGTGATTCATAAATGTTAATGCAGATGTGAAACCAATTCATGTAAAATAATCATGGTAATCTGTAAACCGTGATTATTTCTCAGGCTATAATTGTACCACCAAAATTTATAATCGTCGCAACCCTAAGTGGGACTGCCTCTGATGGCCATGCAATACTGCAGAGCCGTGTCAACCAACACAGCCCCACAACATCCAGAGTGTTAAGGAACTCCAGGTGGATCTCATCCACCCCTGGGGCCTTGATACCAAGGAGGTTTTTGACCACCTCAATGGACTCAGCACCAGAGATTGGAGAATCCAACCCAAAAACCCAGACACCACTTCCTCAATCGGTGGGATTGAGGGGGTCATTGAAGTACTTCACCCACCAATCCACAACAAGCTGAGGTCAGCAGCAGACCCTCCCCACTACAAATACTGTGTTCCCCTCGTGGCGGATGGTGGACCAGAATCATCCAAAAAGGTGGGTAGTCTGATCTGCTGTTTGGTGCATAAGCACAAACCACAGTCGGGACCCATCCCTCACATGTAGGTAGAGGGAGGCTACCCTCTCAATTACCAGGGTAAACCCCAATGTACAGACAGCAAGATGGGGGGCAACTAGTATGCCCATCCTTGCTCAGCATCTCTCAGTGGGAGCAACTCCAGAGTGGTAGAAAGTCCACCTCCTCTCAAGGAAGCTGGTTCCGGAGCCAGAGCAATGCAAGGGGTGAGAATCCTCTGGCTGGAACCTCTCAGCCTCACTCGCCAACTCTTGCTCTTTCTCCACCAGAGGTGAAATTCCACATAGAGAGAGAGAGAGCATTTTGCTACCACCTATCTCACAACCCTTTTGGCCCCTGCCATGAGTGGTGAGCCCATGGGAAGTGGGGGCCATGTTTCCTCTTCAGGCTGTATCTGGCTGGGCTCCATGGATTAAAGCCTGACCACCAACACTCACCAACATGCACCACTTTAAACATAAGAAGCTTTTGTTGTTGTTTCAGACACCTTAGAATGACAGATGATTAACAAATGATCTCTGTTGTTTCTCAGCTTGGGTTCTTCAACAGGAGAAGACGGGAGGAACAGCCTGAAGCCAATGGGAAGACAGAGCAGCAGATACAAGGCCTGGAAACCTCATAGGGGGCCTCAAACCCCATAGACCTGAAATTATTACAAGCTTCAACCAGACACTCAAAAGACTGCAGCTAACTAAACCAGCCAGCTTTTCATGGGACTCTAATAAAAGGGCCAGTTTGCAAATGAAAAGGTCACATTTACTAACAGCAAATCGCCAGCCATCACACTCAGCACATCCCTCAGAAATGTCTTGCTTTTGTTTTTAAGAAATTGTATGCTAACCTCCATTTCCATTACCCGCGTATACAAGTGGCAGTTACTGGCCTATAGTTTCCTTAACATTTATGTCACAGTCACTCAAAATAAGATATGCATTATAGCTCAATTTCTTCCAGATTAATTTCAGAATAACTTTTTATCATTTTTATTTTAACTTCAGATCAACTTTAGAATAGTTTCATAACAACTCTACATTAACCACTGGTTTACTTCAGATAACTGCAGATCAACTAAATTCTCTGTAACTACAGCGTGTACGGAAAGTATTCAGACCCCCGTCAATTTTTCAACCTTTTGTTATATTGTAGCCTTTTGTTAAAAATCAATTTAATATATATTTTTTCCTAATTAATATTGAGGGGACTGTATTGAACAAGTGATGAGCAGTGCCTGGTCTTCCGCACACATAGCACTTAGAATTAAGGCCAAGAAGTTCTATCTTGGCCTCATCAGACCGGAGAATTTTATTTCTCACCATCTTGGGGTCCTTCAGGTGTCTTTTAGCAAACTTCAAGCTCGCTTTCATGTGTCTTGCACTGAGGAGAGGCTTCCGACGGGCCACTCTGTCTTAAAGCCCTGACTGATGGAGGGCTGCAGTGATGGTTGCCTCTACAGCTTTCTCCCATCTCCTGATTGCATCTCTGGAGCTCAGCCACAGTGATCTTTAGGTTTGTCTCACCCGGTAGTTTGGTCGGACGACCTACTCTAGGAAGGGTTCTGGTCATCCCAAATGTTTTCCATTTAAGGATTATGGAGGTCACTGTGCTCTTAGGAACCTTAAGCGCAGCAGAGATGTTTTTCTAACCTTGGCCAGATCTGTGCCTCGTCACAATTTTGTCTCTGAGCTCCTCAGGCAGTTCCTTTGACCTCACGATTCTCATTTGCTCTGACATGCATGTGCTGTGAGGACTCATATAGACAGGTGTGTGGCTTTGCTAATCAAGTCCAATCAGTAAAATTAAACACAGTGAAGTTAATTAATTAACTTAATTAATTAAACTCCAGTGAAGATGTAGGCCCATCTCAAGGAGGATCAGAAGAAATGGAAGGGACCTGAGTTAAATATGAGTGTCACAGCAAAGGGTCTGAATACTTAGGACCATGTGATATTTCAGTTTTTCTTTTGTAATAAATATGCATACATTTCTAAATTTCTGTGTTTTTCTGTCACAGTGGGTGCTGTGTACCAGTACATCAATGAGGGAAAACATGGAGTTTTGGGTTTTCATGAGCTGTACGCCAAAATCATCAATATTAGAAACAATAAAAGGCTTGAACTACTTCAGTTGTGCGTAATCTTATTTGAAAGTCTAACGTTTATCAGTACATTACAGACAATAATGAACTTTATCACAATATGCTAATTTTTTGAGGACCTGTACATCTTAAGTGTTTGTTACATCATTTAATAATCACTTTTATTGACCACTTTGAATTAATTTTATGAATAGTCAACTCCCCCCCCCCATTAACTGATAACTGAAACGCTGCCTACACTTGAGCTTGTCTTTTGCTCCTCTCTGGTTTCTCCAGAGCCAGGAGGTGATCCTGATGCCACTCTGGTTACTGAACCCATCAGCTGCTGTGAGAAATGAACGTCCAAATGTTTCATTAGAAAAATGTTTTATTTAAAGTTCCCTAACAGAGTTCTTATCAGTCATCAGACTGATGAATGAAAAATAAAACGATCTTCTGAAAACCATTTAGCATCTTCTCATGAAGGCTGCTGTACTGCTTCTCCTTTATGATGCTTCAAGCTTTGTGTCCTCGTGTTGGGTGGAGCCAGCACTTAAAACCAACTGGAGCTGTTTTATAAATGTAGAAGTTGACCCAAGACTATTGCACCGTTCTAAATATTCTATATAAACAAAACATAGGAGTTTGTTATTCAAAGAAACGTTCTCAAATGGAGGGGGGAACTCTTCTTCAGAACATAAGAAGCCTTTTGGATGAGAGGTCCAACGTCTTCAAGCCAACAGCTTTTTCCTCTCTGAAGTAAAAAGAAACCTGCCTTCCCAGCTTCTGACAGCTTTCAGTTCCTGTAGTAAAGAAGGCAAGCACCAACATGTTTCAGGTGCTGCTTTGGCCACATTCCATTTCTCCAGCAGGCTGTATTAAATCTGGACATGGTGAGCACTAACCATCAACACATACTGAAGCTGCTGCTGTGACGCGGTGTCAAGCAACCCCAGAACCATTTAGCCACGTGTCTGTGGAGCCGTATCAGAAATGAGACAGACTTGACCCTCAAGGATCCATATAGTACAGATCAGAAATCACGTTTTAAGGACATTAATTCATGTTTGAAAGTTTAAATGCTCTGAGGAAGCAGGAACTGAACATCCAATCCTGCCAAAGCAGAGTGTTAAAAACCAGAAAAGAAAGACCATCAAAAATGGCCATAAAAGATGACGTGTGCTGCAGGATTTGTGGCCTAAAAACACATAACCAGGTTTAGTTAGCTGTTATTTCCCCTAAAGGCACTCTCTTCGTCTACAGTCAAATGGGAAACTTGATGTGTAGATAAGGCAGAAAAAAGTAGCATGGCCGTGGCGTCGGTACGGGAACAGCTCCGAGGCTGCTGCAGAGGCAGCTTTAGGAGCCACACACACGGAGCCATGGCAGCTTCTGTTTACTGGGAAAATGTAGTCTGGGGTGTGTTTCTGTGTAAAAGTTAAAATAATTAACATCTTATGGCTTCCTGAGGGTTTCACTACTGAGAAGGACTAGCTGTTAGCCCGTCAGTCCTTGCAGCTACCCACAGTAGACAGAAACACACTTCAGAATGACTGAAAACTGTCTCTAAAAACAGAAAATTAAATAATTCTTCTACATAAAAGGCTCCAAAAGCACCATCAGATAAAAACCACAGAGACTTTAAACCAAACACCAGTGCTGTTAGTGGAACTTCACAAACTCCTCCAGGCTTTTGGGGATCTGGTTGTGATACGTGATTTGATGCTGCCGAACTGCACGGGCTGCCAGACACTTGAGGCTCATCTTCATCTGGGTCTTCAGCAGGATCTCAGACACGCCAGTGGTGCTCTTGTCCAGCGGAGTCTTCTTCTGCTTGTTGGTCATGTCTGTGTGAGCACCAGCCTCCACCAGGTTGATGATGATGGCATGCAGCGTGAGGAAGTCGCTGATAGGTCGGTTGTACTGGACTATGACGTGGAGCGGAGTGTTGCCTTCATGATCGACAGCATTCACCTGGGCACCGCAGTCCAGCAGCAGCTTGGTCACCTGGGCGTTGGGAAAGCTGCAGACATCGTTGGTGTGGAAAGCATCAACAGGTGTGCTGGAGCTAATGGCCAGGTGAAGCAGAGAAGAGCCCTCGCGAGTCCGTGGGTCTAGCTGGATGAGGTCATAAATGTGCTTGTTGATTCTGGAACGTTCCTCGTCGCTGCATGTTGTCTTAGTGGAGATACAAGACAGGTACAGGAAGGTAAAAATATTCGACTCGTAGTTTTCCAAGGCCTGTGGCTGTTCGGACTCGGCTGCTGCCTGAACTCGAGACATGCTGCGTTGAATCTCCAGGACACTGCAGCTCAAAACCTGCTCAACGGATGAGGCTGACATGCGCTCCTTCAGGTGCGCCATCTGGGAGAAGACCTGGGCGAAGCGAAGCAGATCTTTGTGTGTGTTGCGATTTCCTTTCTGCCTGAGATGAAGAGCATGAAGCCACAGTTTGATGCACTGATCAAACTCCATGTTATCAGCATAGACGGCCCCTCGATAGATAATAGGATGCGGCACATCGACGTTGTCTGATCCCAGGATACGCTCTCGAATCATCAGCCCCTCCATGTGCAGAGCATCTGGATCCGCTCGAATAGCCTCCAGCTGCTGCGGCGTTCGACACTCGCCACGGCTCCCATAGGCTTCAATAGGTGGCAGTAGCTCCTTGGTGAGGATGTTGTCAGGGTCGCTGTAGCGCTGCATCATGGCCATGAGCAAGTATTCATAGGTCTTCTGAATATCATAGTTCTCCCTGTCATTGGCAAAAGATGCTCCCAGCAGCTCCAAAGCTTCAATCCGGCTGAGAGGATCACAGTCGTCATGAGCCAGCAGCAGCTCCACCACATCAGCTTTACAGCTCTCAGCTGCCACCTTCAGCGGGGTCATGCCATGTCCATTCACCACCAGAGACGACTGGCAGCTCATCAACTCTTTGACTATTTCCAGATGACCGGCCTCGGCTGCGAAGTGCAGTGCTGTGGCGCCGCAGTGGGCCTTGGCATTGACGTCCGCCCCTTGTTGCAGCAGAAAGCGGACCACATCCACGTGGCCCTTATAGGCAGCGATCATCAGGCAGGTGTTGTTGAACTTGTTCGTAATGCTGATGTCAGCGCTGTTTTCCACCAGGTAGCGCACAATGTCGAGGCGACCATCAAAGCATGCCGCTCGCAGGGGGGTGGAGTTGGTGATGGTTGTGTGGTTGACGTTTGCATGATGAGTCACTAGCAGGCGCACCACCTCCAAGTGTCCCGCTCCAGCAGCACACCACAGTGCCGTAGCACCGTCAATAACGTAGCTGCAACACACAGAGGAGATGAACCTTTACTGAGACAGATCGGAGCTGCAACGCTTGCGGACAAACATCTGGAGCTGCTGCTCCAGCTGTGCTGGTCCAGAACCAAGAGACAAACTCCGCCTGGCAAAAGCAAAGCCAACACCCTAGAGACAAAAACTGCAATCCCCCTTCATCCACGAGGGGATGACTCCAGAAAGGAGCAGGGTACCATTGTTTCCCATGTAAAAATGCCAACTTCACAGCAGGATTATATATGTAGCCTGGTTCAGATAACCATTCTAGAGTTCATAGGTCTGATTTATCGTAACTGGGGGGGGGGGGGGGGGGGGGGGTTACATGTTTTGTACCACATCCGTTTAGAGGTTATTAAAGCTAGACATTTTGATTACAAAGGGGTGTGTCCGTTTGACTGACAGGTGTCAGATAAATCGTCAGCGCTAGGCTTGCTCCCCTGCTTGCTCCAGGGAAGCCTCAGTGTTAAAGCCCGGAGGCTAGCTGTCACTCAACTGTGGTTTTCTGGCTGAAAGTGCCTGCTAAACTTTAGTTTCAGTTAGCTTTTAGCTACATTGGCTCAGAGTTTGATGGATGTTAATCATCTGCCCCCACCCTCTCACTTCCATTTTTCTTATTTCCAAAAGTGGCACAAATTCCACTTGGCTTCAACTCAACTCTTCAGAGACGTACTAGTGATGATGCAGGGTCGGTCCCTTACATATGAACAGCCAATGGCCAGGATGCCTCTTGGTGATTTTGACCAATAAGTCTCTTGAGGAGTGCTTGAGACACTAACTGTTCTTCATCATTTGAGACCTTTATACTGAGAAGGTTGGTGTTTTTGAGATAATTATTTGTGCTTTAATCTCCTCCCGTCTACATTACTGTTTCACAGTTGGTCCAGAACTCTACGGCGAGGCTCCTAACTGGATGTAAGAGAAGCGCTGACATCCCTCCTGATTTACTGTATTTGCACATGTTACCTGTAACTATAACAATCATTAGTCTGACCATAACTACTCGGCATCATTAAGCCTCTCGTTAAAACAATGAACTGTTAAAACCTGAGCCCTCAGGTCCTAAAACCAGAATCTACTCTGGCTTGAACGTCCTTTATTTTTACGTGGTATTGACAGTCTGGACATCTTTAAAAAGCAGCTGAAGACCCTTTTGTTTAAAACTGATTTAATCTTTTCTGATTGAATATCTATCACTTGTTTTTAGGGTCATTTAGTGACTTTATGGTTTGTTTTGTTGCACTTTGATTTTTATTTATGTGGTAAAAAGCTCTCACTCAGAACAGAGAGAGCGTGGACTAGTTAAATTCAAAATAAAGATTTGAGCCATGACATGTTAATAACACACACTGACCAGAGTTTCTATCATTGAAACAAATGGGTGCAGCTGTTAGTCGGGCCTCTGCACTCCTATTTACTAATATTATATTTATAATATAAATATTTATATATAAATATTATTATATATAAATATAAAGGGGATATATATCATATATATATATATATATATATATATATATATATATATATATATATATATATATGGGCTGCATGGTGGCACAGTGGTTAGCACTGTTGCCTCGCAGCTCGAAGGTTGCAGGTTCGAAACTTGGCTCGGCTGCGGCTTTCTGCGTGGAGTTGCGTGTTCTCCCCATGCATGCGTGGGTTTCCTCCTGCTCGGGTACTCCGGATTCCCCCACAGATCACAACATGACCTATAGGTTATAAACTGTAAGTCGCTCTGGATAAAAGTCGCTCTGGATAAAAGCGTCTGCTAAATACATAAACATAATATATATATTTACTTTTGTTTAAATATTTACTGAGCTTCAACACTTTAATCCCTGATCTGAGGCTGAAAACAGCTGGAAAGCTAAATGGTGAGTGCTCAGGTTCCTAAGAGGTGACTGGATCAGAACCACCCCTCAAACATGCTGCAGCTCTTACCCGTCGAACCGGGCCGTGCCAGTCTGTTCCGTGTCCACCTTGTAGTGGTCCAACAACAGCCGAACCACTTTGTCGTGTCCGTTCCGCGCGGCGATGATCAGGGGAGTGGACCTTTGGCCGGAGAGCTGGGTCACGTAACCCAGAAGGAACCGAGTCTCCGCCTCGGAGTGGTTTAGCAGCAGCGCGGCCAGTGTCAGCACGCGACCCTCGCTGGCTGCCTTGTAGACGTAGCCGGCCAAAGATTCCATGTGAGCCCAGCGGGCCACCAGGATCCCCCTTCTATGCTCAACTCACGCCCCCTTGGTCCAGTCCTCCTAAGGAAGCCGTCTCCCATTAAAATGTCCAAACAGAGCCGACAATAAAACACCAGCTTATTCCCGACTAAAACGGATCCAAGATTAAACCACTTGCGGAAAGTGGCAGACACCGGTTAGCTAACGTGCTAACAGGACCAGTGGTTGGGTCCAGCCTCGATTAATTTAAAGATGAGCTTTGTTTCTCACCCAAGGCAGTAATTCTGTGAGTTCTTCGTTTGGTTACATGAACACGTTTTAGGAACCACTTAGTACCACATATGTAAATACATACATACATATATCTATAACATACATATACATATTATATATATCTACGCTTAGTACTTTCACCTGAACTGATTAACCGGAAGTTACAGTTCAATGTAAAAACAGCTCCGACTGTGTTCCACCTCTTCTCCTCCGACTTCCTTCCTGTTCGGCTGGTTTTCAGCTTATGGGGTGTTACTGTCCCCTACTGGAGAGGAATGTGAGAGAAAAATAAAACTCCTGACCTGATCCATCTTAATTACACGCGCAAACTGAGAGAACAACCAGTGTAAGCCAGGAACAAAGTTTAAATTTGGATCAAGTATTCATACCTCCTTCTCAGAGGAACTGATATTTAACAGAGTTCTACTTTGTTTGGTCTGTTGACCTCTGGCACACACACACACACACACACACACACACACACACACACACACACACACACACACATATATATATATATATATATATATATATATATAAACAACTTTGGATTTCTGCTTTAAATGAAACACATTATTAAAGGAAAGCTATGTACAAAGGAGGAGGCAGGACACAGTAAGTTGACACTTTGACCTACTCCTTTGACCTACTTCCAGGCCAATGTGGAGGTCTAATCCCTTCAACATATCCTGGGTCAACTTGGGGCCCTCTGCTGATGGCGGCATTCCCAAAACACCTTCTTCACAGTGAATTGTGGAGAATTTCTGGTTCCGTCCTGACCTGAGACTCTAGCCTGGCCTGCCAGACTCGTCCTCTGTTTAATTCTACACAGAGAACTGGTTTGATTACTCACAAGCAGAGATCCAGCTCAAAAACAACCAATCAGAAAAAAAGGTGGAAATGCCTACTGTACCGCACAATGCTGTAGTTTTTTAGCTGTAGAGAAAAATGGCATCTGGCGATGACTTAAACATCTTTCTTTAAAAGAAAGTCTTTTAGCGCTTCGACTTGTTGTGGTTTTAAAGACATATTCAAGTCATTTAGAACAGAGGAAAGAGCCGCAGCAAAGTACGCTTCAGTCTTCATTCTTTATGAGAAACTGAGCGTCGTGGTGTGTGTGAGACGTACGCTGCTCAGTGCTGATTGGCTCAGTTAGAATTCTCAGGGGGTGGGGTTATTTGAATTATAGAGTTCCCAGACCCAATGCTTCTCATAAGGAACCATGAGGCTGGCTGGTCAGGCTACTGAGTCTCTGCTCTGTCAGTCTTCTGTGCATGTTTTCACGGTCGCAATACCTCTGCTCCCAAAGGCTGTCCTATTCTTTTGTATTGGAGGATGCAGCGTGCATGCACCAAAAACAGCTTTGGACTATGGTAAATGCTGCTGCACCCAAACGGAACAGGAAATACATCACAGAACGATTCGCACCGGTGCGTTTTTTGTGCAAAGACTGATGTGACACATATTAAACACATTGCAGGAAGAGAAACGCCACAAAACTGGTACATGATTTATATATTTTCATGTAGCGCCCTCTAGAGATTTGCCGTGTCCACCGAAGTGAATGTCTCTCACTGGGTTAATTAACAGACAGAGATAAGGAAAGGGACAGACAAGTTAACACATGCCACTGCAAAAAATGTCTTATCAGTCCTACGTGTGGGTGAGTCACAGATAGATAAGGGCTTAACAGTTCAGTCCAGTTTTTAAAAACACAGCTACACCGGTGGAGGATCAGGAGCAAATCAACCTTTCTCAGATAACCTCAATAAAAAGCAATGAAGCAGAATCATCTTCGATCCATAAATGGTCTTCGCCCTTCCTTTACCCCTCACGCTGCCGCCTTTCTTGTCCACAACCTTGTCACTTCCCACCTGAACAGTGTATTTACTTTAGTGTGCCAGTTGTTAGTTGTTTCAAGTATGGTGACCAGATTTAAGAAAATCTGAAAACTGTAACACATTTGTTTGGACAATATTAAACTGAAAAGTATTTCTCTGATTTCAAGTTGTTTACCTGAGACCCTGCGTACTCATATGAGGACATTACATTTTTGCCCTTCTGCACCATAATAATTCTTTTTTTAAACTTTGACCTATTGGCCTCATTTGGGGCCACTGGCAGCACCATCTAGTGGTCAAAGAACAACACTACACCCATTTACCTGAAAATAAAATAGAGTGCCAGCCAAAAACTGCTGTGGCCACTCCCGACAAAAAAGAGCCAGGTAAGAGTTAAATTCAGTTTTCATCGATGAATCTGTAGTATTTATGCAAAGTAAAGTCTATTGGTTCATATGAATTGCAAATGTCTGACATTTTGAAAAGATTAGCCAAATAAAACATACCTGAACATGAAGTACTTGTTTGAGGACATCGGGATTATGTTAGGTTCTCAATTGTGCGGTAAGATAAACTTGCAAACTTTAGCAAAAATTTACAGGTGAAAATAAATATTGTAATTTGAATTTTTTTACAACTATGTGTTCAGATAAGCTTGAAAATGTTTTGAGCATAAAAAAACAATTATTTCTCGCAAGTGAGACCTTTATTCAGCTTTAGAAATAATTAGCTAGCTAACTAGCAATTAAGTCCGAGTCATATGTATGGAATCTGTTTTTTTTTAATATAAATTTTTATTGCAGTTTGGAGATTTTATTGTTACAGGAAAGCTTTCATTGTCAAAAGCAGAACAACTGCTCAATGCAATTGCAGAAAACTCTGATGTTGAAGGTTTATCAGATGGTGAAGACAATGATCTGGCTTTGGATGGAAATGTTCCACATTTTTTTGATGATATGACTCTTGGGCATCATCCTGATGATTCAGAAGAACATTCACCAGAGGATGATTCAGATGAAGATTATAGACCATCTGAAGGAGATGCTGACAGCAATGATGAAAATGAGCCACTCCATCCACATGTGCACAAGCATGGGTGTCAACGACAGCGCATTGGGAATGAATGTGAGCAGGAGGACAATTTTGTTATATTTTCACCTTGACTCTTCTATTGTTTTAAAATTACAAGTGCATTACTAAAAAAAGTTAATGTATTTTTTTGCATCAGCTCTGAACAAGGATGAACCAGGACATGGAGAGCCCAGAGGAGACCCGAGCAACGATGGGCGTGGACAGCACTGGAAAACTGCTCCATTTACCCTAAACATTGTCCAGTTTCAGGGTGAAGAGGATGACCTGATAAATGAACGAGCAAACTGGCAGCCAATAGATTATGTGGAGCAGTAAATGGACTCACAGTTGATGAAACTCCTTGCTGACTGCAAAAATAGCACGTCACTAGCTAAAAATGGCTAGTTGCTCAATACTACAGTGGAAGAAATTTGCCACTTTTTTGGGGCAGCAATCTTGATGTCCTGTGTGAGGCAAACTGCAGCACGGGGACATTTTCCAGAGAGCCAAAATGCTTCTCCTGCATTTATTTCACCTCTTTCCTTTTACAGATCACCAAATAACAAAACGAAACTCCCCCAAGCCTCCACCTGGCTTCCTTTAAATACCCCAGAAAATCACACCTGCAAACAATCCACCCCAATCATCAGTGCTCCAACATTAAATCCAGAGGGAAATAAACATCCACATAAAGGTACCTAAATGTTAACATAAACAAAAGACAAAACTGTTTTTATAATACAAAAAACATTTTCACACTAAGACACATTTCAGTTAAAATATCCCCCATCACAGTGCCAGCAGACTACAGAAATAAATTACAGGGACGAATGGGAAATCATCCCTACCACTTCGTCACAAGTGGGGATGAAGAACTTTGTTCTGGCATCACCAAGTGGAATTGTACTGGACTTTAAAGTATCATGGTGCAAAAAACATTGAGTTTGCAGGTTGAGGACTCAGAAGGACTAGGTTTATGTGCACTGGTAATCAAACGCTTGTGTGAAACACTACATGCTGATACAAAGGTGTACTGTGATCGATTCTTCACCACCATACCAGCTGTAGATTTCATGCTGGAGAAGCAGATGTACCTTACTGGTACAGTGATGAAGAACCGGGTCGCCAAGGCAATGGAGAAGCTACCGAGTGACAAAACCCTGAAACAGCAAGGAAGAGGGGCCTCAGCGACAGTCACCCGAGCAGATGGGAAACTGCACTGAAAAAAGTGACTATCTGGGGTATAAAAATCTATTATAGCAACTTTCATAATGTCTACTTTGTGTTTTTAAGTTTCACTAAGAATTAAGTAAAATTTAAATTTATTTTAATATAACACATGAATTAAGGGGGAAGAGTGAATTTTACTACAGATGCTGACCAGTTCTTATGACTTATTATAAGACAGACATCTTCAGACATGATGGAATGACCCGTTCATCTTTTAGATGTTTCCTGGTAAGTCTTATGTCCTCCTGGTGTGACGTGCTCAGACCACTTCAGCAGGACGGCGTCCAGCAGGCATCCTGGCCAGATGCCCATGGGGGAGAGCCCAGTCACCCCGAGGAGGAGGATCATTTAAGATGCTTGTATTTAAGAAAATTAATAACCTGAAAAGGGTTCATAAAGGCTTTGCATTTCACTAATACTGAAATGAGGAAAATGTTCAAAATTAATTTACAAATGACTCCATGATCATTTAAATGTTTAGTAAATCATTTATAATCATTTAGTTAAGCATGTATAATTCGATGCTTCCTCCTAATCCTTTGCAACCAATGACAATTGTGACCTCAGACGTGTTATACATAATCTATGAAGCATTTGCTAATACGTTGTTGATCATTTGTAAATGTTTCATTGACCATTACCTAATCATTTATAAACATCATTACAATTGTTTGTAAATGTTTTGTACATCATTACCTAATACTTTGCAAATGATCTATTGATGACATACTAAACACTTACAGATGCTTTATAACAAACCATTATTGTAAAGTGTTACCCTCTAGTCTAGCATTCGTTGTGGGGACCGTCACTGACTTCCATTCATTTTAGTGACTGGATTGTGCCCGACCCTAACCCTAACCAGTCTACTCCTAACCCTAACCTAACCTTGACTAAAACTTAACTCACACCAGACCTCTAACTGGTATAGGAAGCTTCTGGTAAGCTTCTAAAAAAGTGAGGACCAAAAAATTGTCCTCACTTTGTTGGGAAAATGGTCCTCAGTATGTAGTACTGTATGTACAAGAACACACACACACACACACACACACACACACACACACACACACACACACACACACACACACAC